AGGAGGAGGAGGAGGAGGAGGAGGAGGAGGAGGAGGAGGAGGAGGAGGAGGAGAAGGAGAAGGAGAAGGAGAAAGAGAAGGAGAAGAAGAAGAAGAAGAAGAAGAAGAAGAAGAAGAAGAAGAAGAAGAAGAAGAAGAAGAAGAAGAAGAAGAAGAAGAAGAAGAAGAAGAAGAAGAAGAAGAAGAAGAAGAAGCATGGCCATAACATCAATATAAAAAACAATAATACTAACAATAGAATTAATTTGAGTAAAATAATGAAATAATATTAAAATAAAAAACGGAGCAATATTATTATAAATCAAAATTTCTAAAAGGACACTACTTGGAATCCGCCGATTGTATGGGATCAGATACCTTGTATGAATACGTTAAATTAGGTAATTCAATCCATACAATTTGAGGTTACATGTTCAGACCACCATTCTTTTCTTTTTTTTTTCAAGAGGAAAGCAGATGTCTATTCTCATTTTGTGTTTGGTCATTCTATTGAGTTACATCTATAAGACCAATCTCCTCGTGGTTTAAGGAGTGGAAATATGATGTATAAACTCAACTATTGCATTTTTGTTCTTTTTGTAGAGGGTCACATCCTTTTACCGACATCCTCTTGTGTAAGGAGTGGAAAGTAAGATGTAGAGACCCATGTTTTAAATCACTTTCAACTTGTAAAGTTGCTTGTTTTTGTTTTGTTTTTTCGACATCATTTCCTCCATACTTGAATAAAATGGATTGAGATATATTTATATATTTCATTCGGATAGAGAGATAGAGGGAGGGGGGAATGTAAAATAATAATGCTTTTATATATTAAAGGTATTATTTAAAAATAATAGCCATGATAACGATGATAGTAATAACGAAACGACGGTGGTAATAATAAAAACAACAATAATAACAATACCAATAATAGAAACAAAGATGAATAACAATAATACTACTACTACCAATAATAAAATTAATAATCTTAATAATGATAATGATAATAATAATAATAATAATAATAATAATAATAATATTAATAATAATAATAATAATAATAATAATAATAATAATAATAATGACATCAACAACAACAACAACAACAACAACAACGACAACAACAACAACAACAACAACAATAACAATAATAATAATAATAATAATAATGATAATAATAATAATAATAATAATAATAATAATAATAATAATAATAAGTAAAGAAATAAGTATGAAGAACAACTTTTCTTGGAGCATACCCATATTCTTTATCCCAAGTCCCCTTCCCCCCGCCCCCCCCCCCCCCTCTATTTCCCCGTCCCAGATAACAATAACAATTATAACAATAATAACAACAGCAGCAATAATAATAATAATATTAATAATAATAATAATAATAATAATGATAATAATAATAATGACAACAACAATAATAAATAACCCGGTTGCCCTTGTTAAAGCATAGATTAATTTGGATAATGTTAGAGGCAAGAGATTGCCTGTAGATTTATATAGGATATTTTTATTTTTTTTCGTCTATTAACTTTTTAATAAGAATTTTCGTCTGATTGCTTCTCTTAGGGTACAGAATGTTTGTAGTGTCAAAATGAATGCCTTCCTTTTTAAATTGATCTTTTAATATTATAATGCATTTCGGTATTGTATGAACAGTTCATATTCCAAAAGTACGTGATCAATTGATAGTGTTTTTTGGCACTGGTGGCATATTTGATTTCTTTTGATGAAGAAATATGGTGAGTATAATCTGAGTCGGGTGATCGAGTTTTGGCCCTCTCCATACGGTACTATAGTTTTTATGTTTGGCACTATCTTTTTAAAGAATGTGCCTGTCTTTGAATTTGTCCATGCAGTCTGAAAATGTTTTCTTTTACTCTTTGATGTAAAAGATTTTTCATTTTGAGGGGTCCCAGTTTTGTATTTATATATTCTTTCTTTAGCATTCTTCCCTTGTTTGCAAGCTTGTCAGCCATCTCATTCCCATCTATTCCGCAATGTGATGGTATCCAAATAATGGTAACCCTTTTTCCGTTAGTTAATAATTGTTCATGTAATTCAATTATGTCCTGTAGAATGTTAAATCTAGCATGATTTCTGTGCAGTTCCCCAAGTGATTGGGCTGCCGAGAGAGAATCAGTGAGTATAAGAATATCCCTGTTCAATTCATCACTGCACGCCTGTTTCATTGCTCCCTGTATCGCTATCAGTTCAGCAGTAAGAATAGAAGTATAATCTGTTATTCCTGAATACGACCGGATATTTTGTTTTTTAACATAGAATCCTGATCCAGTACGTTCATCCTCCTTGGATCCATCAGTGAAATACTGGATATGATTACTATATAAGTCATGAATATGTTTTAATGTAATATTTTTCATTGATGCGTATTTGTCTTCTCTCTTTTTTATTTTGTTCTTTAGTGTTAGGTCCACATTAATGTCACAATATTTCCATAAGGGTAATTCTTGTTTCAGCGTGGCGGACATTTTGTTTTTTACTTTCAAAGTTCCCATAATTACTTGTGTGCTTTCTACAATGCCGTTTTTAGGTTTAAGATGTTTGTTTGCGATCTTGATTATTCTGTCTCTGTAGACATTCCTAGCATTTTCTTTATTAGAATTTACTGTATGCCATAGTTATTATAATTTATTTACTCTATGCCATAGTTTGACCTTGCTTTCCTGCCTTCTTATCCAAAGAGGGGGGATTTTCGTCATGAATGATAAAGCCATGCTGCTTGCAGCGCGTGTAGAATTGGTGATTATTCTCAATGCTGAATTTTGAATGGTGTCCAGTTTCTTTAGTTGACCCTTTGCTCCCTGGTCGTATATTTCCTCTCCATAGGCAAGTCTTGGTAGTATCAGATTTTTGTATATCAATGTTTTTATTTTTGAATTTTTTCCCCAGCTTTTTCCTGCTGTGCATTTCAAAATATTAAGGGTGTTGATTTTTTTCTCATATTTTTCAGCTATATGCTCCTTGAACTGGAGGAAAGAATGGCAACAATGGCTTGGGGCAAGGGTTCACGCAAAACTAAAGCCCCGTAAAGCTTTTTGCTGGTCGACTTGACTAATACTATATAAGTTTGTTTTTTTATTATGATTACTTTGTCAGCCACACTGACTTAGACTTCAATAGTAAGCATAATTTCTAACTGGTGGGAACAGCAGTGACGATACTGACAAGGGGGATGAAATTCACCAGATTTTGAAAGGGCATCGTACTCTATGCTATCAGGGGTAGTCAGTGAATCATCTATTAGTTATAACCTGCCCCCAAGGTCTAGTTCTAGTACTAGCAATGTCAACAAAACTGGTACAACTGTTAGTACTAAATTTATTATAAGGATAGAATTAGGAGCTAATTGCAGGTCTAGGTCTGCTGTCAGTGGAGATCTGGGTTGTGGCTGATTAATATTTCGTGTATTTCAATTACTCCAAATTATTGAAAGAGATCTATGCTGGAATACCAACGTATTATTGCAAAGGCGATTTATATATAAACACTTCTGTATTTCATGGGTAATGGTGACAGCAAGTTGGATAAAACTCATCAAACTAGCCAAAATTATTATTTTCCAGTTATTATCCTCCCTGTATTGCGTAATTTCACTTACATAATATCACAAAGAACCATGAAACCCAACTATTGAGATAGCTTATTCAATTACTTTTCCAGTAGTATCAAATATTGTCAGACGAAGACATCAAGGTCAGAATCCAAAAGGCAAGAGCAGCATTCATCATCCTCAGGAATATATGGATGTCTAAGGAACTGGGATTGAACACCAA